CGAGAACTATCCCTCATTGACGAGAACGTTCTGGAAGCGGTGGTAAGTACATAACCCATACACTCATGTAGCGGCCATACATTATTCACCATCTATCGCACCATTTACTGATTCGTGTCTTTTTTTTTGTTTCAGAATCACGATGGTGTGAATGGAGGCGACGTCGAGCAGGTAGACCTCGTCACCGATGAAGGGTTTGACGACGTGTGCGATGAGGGGGACCAGCAGATTAGGTTCCAATCTAAGTGGATAGATGTGTCAGTTGCCAGGGCCCGCCATGAGCAGATGTTGTTCTGCACAACGATATCAATGGTCACAATCATGACGACGACGCAGGGGATGACAAATCTTTGCTATAGATGCTTCTCCATATATCTAAGGCAGCCTAATACTGTTGGAGCATATCAGCACACCTCATCGCATTCTACAACGAGGTTCGATGAGGCACCTAGGTCGTTCTCCTGTGCCGTATGTTCAGCCGATCTACACCAGATCCGCATGTCGGATGTGTGCCCCACATGCTGTAGCGTGAAAATCAAAACTTATCGTTTCTAGTTATTAGTTTAGCATAGTAAGTTCTTATTCATAAGTATTTAAGTGTATAAATAAAAATATTAATAATATAATTGATTGATGTTTAACTAATTGATGAGTATATGAAACATGTGAATTGAAGAAAAAAAAAAAAAAAAAAAAAAAAACACCTACAAAATAAAATTAAATGAAATCAAATCCTTAAAACAGGGTTATGGGGAGTAGGTAGTTGAAAAAAAAAAAAAAAAAAAAAAAAAAAAAAAAATTCAAAAAAAGGACTTAGCAAATTTTCCCCCCCTCCCGAGGCATTCGCCTCATTACTCGATATTGGTGTGGAATAATATGTCGGGTGTGCTATTGTCAACGTTGAAGGTTTGCTATAACTCTTCGGAGTAGCTGCTGGCATTAGATTTTGCTTGGCTACTGCCGCCGTTGCTGCCGCGGTGATAACCTTCAATGGTTTTGTCAGCGGCTCATAAGCTTTTTCTAACATCATTTGGTTACTGGTGAGTTCGCTCTTGAGACTTTTAAATTTATTCCTTACCGCATCGGTTGCTTCAACAAGTTGGCGTTTGAGGTGTATTTCTGAAGCGATTTCACTACTAGGTGTGCTCATTGTGCTATCCAAAGGTTGAATGAAGTCCATGCAGTTGCTGTTTTAGGGGTATATGAAGCAGTCGAACCCTTTCCTATAACGGCCCTCATGAATTTCACTATCCTTATCTATAACGAGAAACCCGTATCTATCTGTCCAACTTTGTGCACACATTTCTTGAAATTGTTTAAATGTTACATCTGGAGATACATGATCGGAATAAATGTGGTGTAGATTCATATCATCCTGCCTAAACATGATTATGAAGTTGGAATTATCGCGAATCAGCTGTTTCGGCACTCTCGAATACGTTTGTGCTAGATAAAAGCAATCCACATTTTTATGGCGCCCCATTGAGAAATATGATCTGATTACATCTTGTTTTTCACATATCACATCGTCGAATATGAAAATACTGTGTGGCTTCGCATCTTCCGGTTCAACAATGTCCACATTATTACTATATGTATAAAACCCCAGTCCCTTTATCGGTTCCAATACTTTCCGCAAGTACTCATACTTGGGTTGATACAACGATTTTGAATAGAGATAAACATTGGCGAATCGTAAACCATTATCGTTGGTGAGGAGGGATATCATAACATTCGTTTTGCCGCAATTTGATGGGCCGATAATGAGACTGCGTATAGTATTAGGTAGTAGGAATCCATGCCGACGTTGTGTAATTATACCATTTCCTAACCCTACTTTTTCATCGAAGTTGTCAACTCGCAATGTTTCTTGCTGCTGAACAATCTGCATTGTATGATGGTCAAATGCTATATAATGAATCGCAAACTCTGTGAATGTCATTTATATTATGAAGCTGAAGCGATACACATCGGCAAGCGGTAACGGTGAAAAAAGTTTTCGAGGAAAGAGGACTGGCAGAGGATTTGTTAATACTTTAATTAATAAATTACCGGTCGAATTACATATTCCCGGCGGCTATCAGTATTGTGGTCCTGGAACAAAGTTACAGAAACGATTATCTCGAGGTGATCCAGGCATTAACCAATTAGATAGAGCGTGCAAGGAACACGATATCGCATATTTCAAGCATCCGAACGATTTATCTGCAAGGCATTCTGCCGATAAGGAATTGGAAGAATCCGCGTGGAAACGTGTTAAATCAAAGGACGCATCTGCAGGAGAGAGGGCCGCATCTTGGCTTGTTACCAATATAATGAAGGGAAAGAGGCGTTTTGGTATGGGATGCAGCAGCGGAGTGAAGAAACGTCGAGTGTCGAGGAAGAAGAAGAATACTACCAAGAGTGGGAGAAAAATTGCTTTTGGGTCCGGCATAGTGCACAAAGTTCGCAATGTGTTGCGACAAGTGGGAAAGAAGGGGGCACTCGCCAAAAACTTGGCCAAGACTTCTCTTATGGCGATTGGAGCTGCTAGAAAATTCGTCAAGATGGCTGGTGGAAAGAATAATATCCGAACACCTCGCATTATACCAATTCCTAAAGTTGGAGGAATTCTTCCACTCATACCCATTTTTGCGGGATTATCGGCATTGGGGAGTTTGGCTGCAGGTAGTGCTGGTATAGCTCGAGCTATTAATTCAGCTAAAGAGGGTAGGGAGCAACTCTCTGAAGCGAATCGTCATAATAGACATTTGGAGGCGATCGCTCTAGGAAAGATCGGTAAAGGAGTATATTTGAAGCCGTACCGAAAAGGACTGGGCATTTACTTGAAGCCGCAAAGTTCAAAAAACTAGCAGGGTTACCTCGAAGGGCGTTGACGGACATCGATTTATCACAATACATAGAGAAAATGGGTGTTCCAAACTTTCGAGGTATATTTATGAGAGATAATCTACCAAATTCTCCACCGCGCCACATAGAATCAGCCATTCTGAATCTCGATGGTATTCGAGGTAAAGGGACACATTGGGTTGCTTATAAAAAACGTGGTGGGGTAGTCGAATATTATGATAGTTATGGCGATTTGCCGCCACCCGAAGAGTTGGTGAAATATTTAAGGAGGGGATCAAAAGCTATCAAAATCGTATATAACTATGACCGTCAACAGGATTACAACACAGTCTGGTGTGGTCATTTGTGCTTGAAATTTCTCTCGTCGAAGAGTGGAAACTACGTATTATAATATGGATAGAAAAAGCATCAAACAAATGGGGCACGCATTATTGGCTTACTCGAGATTACGATCTTTGCTGAAGATGAGTGAGAAACAGCTCGCTGATATGCCGAAAGAGGTTTTAATCGGATGCGCTTCACATGAGATAGCTCTAGTGTGGGATAAATTACCTGAACAATTACGCAACGATCAAGATGTATCAAAATATCGATTTTGTGAGGAGCACCACGAACACCGCCGCCAAGAGGATAGTGACCATTCCAGCGCAGATGTCAATGATGGGCCGATACCAAGAAAAATATTATGCTGCTTTTGTCAAATAGAAGATGTAAATGTGGCAACTAACAATAAATTCGATATTAATGCTTCGCCGAACGAAAACAAGAACATTCTTCATTGTTGCAGGCAGCAATAAGGTTGATACTTCTTACTACTGCTGCTGTATACACTGAAGCTTGTTGTTTGGTTTTTGCTGTGTTTGCTTTTCCAATTGTAAAAAGTTATGTCGCAAACATTCACCATTTCTGGAGATCGCAGTATCTTGAGTGCAGATTTTTTTCCACCAATCGAACTCGATGTGAGGAATACTTACGGCTTGGGGTTACACGGTTTCTATTCATACAACTCTATACTCAATATAGATGAGACAAATAACAAATTAGGTATTTGGTTCGAAGAGGGAAGCGTTGTTCTTCAGATACCACCAGGCGCCTATGAGATAGATGAAATCAATAGAGCAATACAAAAGGCTATAGAGAGTTGGACTCCGCTGAATGGGCGAAATATTGATGATGTATTCTCCCTTCGAGCTAACAATAATACGCTCAAATGTGAACTCAAGTCCGAAATTATGTTAATTTTGAGTATTAACGATTCTATAGCCAAAGTCTTGGGCTTTGAACCGAAATATTACAAGCCCAATGTTTTGCATGAATCCACTTTACCTGTGAACATCATAAAGGTACGATTGATACGGGTTGATTGTAATATCACTACTGGAGCGTACCTCAATGGTGAGGAGGTTCACACGCTTTACGAGTTCGATGTCGATGTGGAGCCTGGATACAAACTCTCAAAGGAGCCGAAAAATATTATATATCTACCAATCAGTCCGACAGGGCGTCAGTCTATCGACAACATCACACTGAGAATTTTGGATGATAATGACCGATTAGTTGACTTTCGCGGAGAGAAGATTATAGTAAAATTGGAATTGAAACAGCTCGATTAATTATTACAACGGTTTGGAAAAATGGGTTTCTGCTTCGGAAACCAATCAAAACGTGTATCTCTCGCTGCAAACCCCACTATTCTACACACTACCGTTAAGAAGAAGTGTAAACGGGGTAGAGGATTCATTCAAAGACAGCTCACCGGTCAGGTAGGACGTCATAGATTATCTGCGAGCGATATAAATTTTTTGGAATCTATTGGTCTGACAGTACGACAAAGACGACGACGAACGAGTAGAAATTAGTGAACAATGGTTGTCACAAGTTCTACTAGCTTACAATTGGAGGTGTTTGATGAACCAATTTTCGATCATTCACTAATTAGCCTACATGAGCATACATACAAACCATATGGTTCACCATCATTCAAGAATTCTGATGAAATCAGGATAGCTGTCAACTTTCAAGATTTGATACTCGATATTTCTGATAGCTACATATATATTGAGGGGAAATTCACACCAGATGATGCAACGAAATCCTGCTATCTATCTAACAATACCTTAGCCTTCCTCTTCGATGAAATTCGTTATGAAATGGGTGGCGAACAAGTATGCATGATTCGAAAACCAGGCATTACTACCACAATGAAGAGCATGATCTCTTATGGAGATTCTAACGCTAAATTTCTTGAAACAGTCGGATGGGGAATTGATAGCGAAAATCAGCCAATTCTAGACAAATCTAGTCACATATTCAGTGGAAAACTACCGCTAAAATATTTAATGGGGTTCGCTGAGGATTATAATAAAGGTATATTGAATGTGAAACAGGAGCTGATACTCATCATAGCTCGATCATTCAAAAACTGCTATATAGGAGAAGTTGATGCCAGTGTGGAGATTAACAAAATCGAATGGAAGATAGGACATATTATGCCATCGGATAAGCAGAGGTTGAAATTACTGAACCGTCTCAATAAAAGTTCTACAGCAAAAGTGAAAATTGCATACAGGATGTGGGATCTGTATGAATTACCGTCAATTCGTGAAACATCTTCAGACATTTGGGCTGTTAAAACCACCAATAGTCTCGAGCGACCAAGGTACATTATCATAGGCTTCCAAAATTCTGGTAACACAGATAATAGATCCAAGGATACCACCCAATTCATTCATGCGGGAGTCAACAATATTCGACTGTATTTGAATTCGGAAGTTTACCCTTATGAACGGTGGAATTTGGATTTTGGAAAAAAGTTAGATGCTGTAGCCTATTATGCATACGATAATTTCCAACGAAGCTATTATGGTAAAGACATGAGCGAACCAATGATGAGTATTGAGGAGTTTAGAAAAAATCCGTTATTCATCATAGACTGCAGCCATCAACCGGACACATTGAAATCTTCAACTGTCGATATCAAGTTGGAGTTTGAGACACGCCAATCGAAATTTCCATCTAATACCAAGGTATATGCGCTCATTCTTCACGATGCATTTTTGACATATAGCGCACTAGATGGTTCAATACAGTTGGGTGCTCCTTGAATACACTCTACAGATCTGGAGCAAATTCTAACCTCCGTCCACCTCCACCACCACCGCCACAGCCGACCATGAGCATTCGAAGCCTATAATTGTATTAGATCAGTTTTTTCATTATTATTATTATTATGTTCATTATTATTTATTATCATCATGATTATTATTATTATTATTATTATTATCGACACATGTATCTGCACTAAATTGAATAAAAGTAAACAAATGTTTTACAAATCATCGTTTTTATTTCTTGATTGATAGACAATGAAAAATGCGAGCTCATCATCATCATTCCATAATTTATATATATACATGCAAATGATAATAGTATGATTGAAGCATCTCTTAGCAATATCATCATTTCGATTCTTCTTCTCCTTCCTCCTCGTTGTCGGATGATTCTGGAATTACCCCCAAGTTGTACTTCCGTATCAGGCTGTTTGGTAGGAAATCAAAAATTTCATACAGAAATTGGTCCAAGTCCTCTCCCACCATTGCTTCAAGAAATTCCTCCAAAGTGAAGCTACCATATTCGAACCGGGCGCATAACATATAACCCTTTCTATATTGTTCGGCTTGTTTACAGAGTCGTTCAACTTGTTCTCGATCGAAGCATATGCTCAAATCATAATTTGTCGCATGCATTGCATCACGTGACAAATCAGAGAACTGACATTTCAACCTGCTCACTGCTGATTTGATGTCTTCCGCTGCCGGCCAGAATTGACTGGAATAATACATCCACATGTTGGGGAACAGGAGTCTGTAAATGATAAAAAAAAAAGTTTGGTAATGATGAGATTATTTGGGAGATTTGTCTTTCATTGAATTCTTTTTGGAACCTAATTTATTACTTACCGCAAACGGTACGATCTGCGTTAGTGGCTTGTGTTAATGTAATAATAATTATCATATAATTTTTAAACCCTTTTCACTAAACTATACTAAAAAAACCTATCAGAAATAATTAAGTAGAATAATTCCGAATTAATTTTGCTTGAAGTCAAACTTGATGAGAGCCCTCGTTTTTGCACCTACATATAATGGCTCACTCTGGCCCAAATATGCTAGAGTATAAAGACCATTTGAAGAATTCATCTCATCAATGTCGCTGTCACTCAGCAACTCTACAACTCTTTTGGGCAACCAACATTTCAGACTAGCCTCAGTTTCTTCATCGTACAATATTACAGAACCGCTCCTACCAAACCTGGTTCCACATAGTGATATTTTCTTGACCACATAGCTTTTATTCAAGAGTAGTGATGAGATAACAGTTTGCTTGATAATATCATTGTCTTCGTTAATTCGATTATTTATCGTTAACAAATTAATTTTAGGAGCTGCCATTATAAATTCTTCTTTGTTGAGTGAAAAGAGGTGTAAAAAGTATATAAATAATTTTTACTTACATATAACAGTTCACGTACACTTTTATTGCAAACACTTTATATTCCCAATCAATTTGAGCGGGTATATTTTTTATGCGCGAGTTGGTGGTGCGTATCTTCCGTATTATTAGGAGAACTATGCTCTCGCAGACGATACAATGATGTATTTATAGGAACTGGGATATGTGACGTAACACAGCACCCCACTTCTACCAAAACGACCTCGACCAGCCTACTCCCATTTTCAAGGTCGCACACGCTTTCACCTCCCTCTCCAAGGTCGAGGTCTCTCTCTCTCTCTCTCTACAACTCAAGGTCACTCGTTCCCAAGGTCACATATGCGAAGGTTACTCGTACAACCTTCCTTCAAGGTCACTTTGTCTCGCCCTCAAGGTCACCTCCGCGTTCAAGGGCGTGCTGTCGACACTTCACTATACGAGGTTACTCCCGCCCAAGGTCAGACCCGTTCAAGGTCACTCCCGCCCAAGGTCACTCCCGCCCAAGGTCACTCCCGCCCAAGGTCACTCCGCCCAAGGTCGGAGGACGGTGACCTAGGGCGGAGAGCCAGAACCGGCCAATCTTTACTACTGCCAACAATATGAGTTCCAACTATTCCTGCCCAAACATTCACACCAAATCTCTCCTGGAAGCCGCTTTGTCGAAACCGGTGCTCGTTTTCTATCGCCCAGTACCTGGAACAAAAGACCGTTCACACTTTCAGCACTTTACACTTCGACTATCGACAATAATCCAAATAAAGTACAGTACCTACCTTGTATTATTCCTGTCAAATAATCCATTGTTGGTAAATCTTGACTCGTCCGTAAACAAGATACTATAATAGTTAAATAGGTGATTCTCAGCATTTTGTCGAAGAAACCAATTACAATATTCCAGGCACCTTTCAACGTCATTTTCATACAAATGTTGATGCAACTGATACTTGAAGGATTTAAATCGATGTTTTTTCAAAATTTTCCTAGCAGAGTCCTTACTTATAGCTAATTCGGCGCCAATCTGCCTTGAGGAAATTGTGCTATCATATTGTACTAAAGCTAATACATTAATTTCAGTTTCCTCATTGATAACAAATGCTTGTTGGTCTTCGTGAACATCAGGCTCAGGTCTTCACCATAAATGAGAAGCATGTCAATTTGTTCGGTTCGTGAATAACGGGGCATTTTTTTGAATATTCCACTAACTGATTTCGATTTCCAAACCCTCTTGAAATAGCAGAATCAAAAACACTACTTCGAACGTCAAAATAATATGGATAGCAGCGTTCGTGACAGCTCTCGTTTCTTTTTTCATTCCAAAATACATCTTAATCAGCCTACTTGTTAATATTTCTGAATAGCACAAACATCGTCCATAGGTAGATATTGAAATATCTATGGACAATGGCACAGACCCAGCCGACTTTTCAATTTTTGGCTTTCATTTCGCTTCCACGGTCTACTCGGTGAATTTCAATGATAATTTTTTCTGATCTAGTTTCTGGTTAGATACCAACTTGTGATATGTCATTAGAAAGGGAATTGAATGCTGAATAAAGCGAAAAGAAAAGAAATAGGGTTTCCATTTAAAATGAGAAAGTTAATGTTACTTCCGGTCAGACCGGAAGTTAACTTCGACATGTCAATATGCTCAAATTCTAGCTCTTATGTCATTATATCGACGCTCCAAATTTCACAAACCTACTTCATACAATAACTGAGATATTCCGTAGGCAATACTTCCGTAGCCACCCGGTATAACAGATGAAAGATATTATTGAGCTCCCTTCCTGGCCTTGAACTTTATAAATGTCTCAATAATGCATCGTTCATCAAGACTAATCAGCAAATCATGCCCTGATGACTGATATATCGAATTTTAAGTTCTATTGATTATAATATTATAGAATAGAATAAAATATGTATCCATTGAATGGCTAATTTGAGGCAAATTAATCAGCCTAATCAAAATATTTGTTCAACGTTTCAAACAAAAAAAAAACGAAACGATTTGTCGAAATACGCGTTATTCACTATGCATTAAGTATTTCTATCAAAAACATATTTACATATAACATGAATATCCCATTTTGGAATTGTTTGCTGCATATTCTTTAGAGATCAGGTTTCTGTTGGCAAGGTGATGATTTCGATACATCTGGTGGGCATATTTGAACCAGTTTATCAGGGTATTCGAGGTCATTTTTGTTAATGTGTAAATTGTGTTTATAATATTCATATTTTATGTATTCCATTCATTAAATTACGTTAATTTCCTTTACCTACTACCACTATATGTAATGTGAAACAAAACGACACCGATTTTAGTATCATAATGAGATACTTTACCGCACTAGTGCGGTAAAGTGCGGTAAAGTTAAAAAAATATAATTTCATATTTCATCTTTTCTAAAAAAAAAAAAAATAACCAATTTATCATGAATATAGACATAACATTATCAGGTAATAATCTACAATTATAATGTTCAATATCCATAGCCTCATTTGAAATAAATGGTAATTGGAGAAATAAAACAAGAATTGATTATATTTATAGACATGATAGGTACTACTGATATATATTTTTGTACTAATCCCGGGATTCAGCAGGTACTAAAGTTTCCATATTTCTATATCGAAACCTAAACTTTCCTGATTCGAATTCATGCCGATGAATTTTTTTCGAATTGAAATTCACGCGTCATAGTTGACAGTTCGCCAAATGAGTGACAACCGAGAACACAATAGATTCACGACAACCATACGTCCAGCCCTAGCAACACTTGCTTATTACATATTTCTAATGAATCGTCAGTTCAAGGAATATTGAATATTTTTGATTAAATAGTTAGCTTTTTGGTAGTAGGTGAACTATTATACTACTCTCGTATCGTAAACTCATACTACGATTTTTGGATGTATGATAAATTGATATTCATCATACAGGACGTGGAAAGAAATTCTGAATAGAGAAAACCTAATCACGAATCTACGATTGAAGTCTATAAAAATAACAAGTTTCTATCGTTCAAGTTTGAACCCCTTGATTGGGTGAAAGTATTGAAAAGGAATATTCTCAGATATATTTCAATGTTCGACGTGGCAAATAGTCAGGAAAGTAGTTGTTTTCTGTTGAATATTCAGGATGATATTATATGCATATCTTTATATGAAGAAGAATGCAAATTCTTTACTTCAGAAGATTTTGTTTTCGAATTCTTATCGTGTGTGTTCAATAGATGTGATTCAATATTCGTCGTGGCCTATAGCCAAGAAAGGAGTTGTTTTCTGTTAAATAAACCGAGAAAGAATTAATATTTTCATCACATGGAGAATGCCAATTCTCAATGTATTTCTTTATATACACCGGGTGTCCCAGTATACCTGTTCCAACGGATTATCTCAGCTATTTCAAAAGATAAAAATTTGAAAATATCATGATCTCCAATTCGTCCAAGGAACCTTCAACTGAAAGAAATAAAAATTGAAAGTCACTTCCGGTTTGACCGGAAGTGACTCTGACTTTTTTATTTCATAT